ATTAAATGTTATTCTATTTGAAGCAGTTTGAGTTAAATTACGTTATCAGTTTTAAAATATGTTTCCAAGGCTTTTATGCAGCAAAACCATATACTAAAATACAATTGTATATCACCTAAAAATGAGACTTCACATTTCAAGTTATCAGTTTTTTATATGACGTTGATGTAAAAAAAAAAAAAAAAAAGACAGTGATTATAGCTCCTTTTGTGAGTATGGGGGTGGGGGGTCACCATTTGGAATGGTCTTTCTTCTTTCCTTTTTTATTTTTTTCCATTTTCAAGGACCATTGTCTTAGCTTTTTTGGTTATTGCTTTTTTTCTTTTTTTTTTTTCCTTTTTTTTTTTTTAAAGACCATTCCATTTCTTTATTTTTTTAAACATCTTAAAGTCATAAGGACTTATATGCAAAGCAGTCATACACTGTATCATTAAAACCCATACGTAAAATACGTACACAAATCCAACAAAAGGCTAGTACATAGTAAAGCCTAAGCATACTACTATGCAATATTATGAATACATAACTTTAGAGACTTCAGTTTAGTACTGTTATCTATTCATTTCTGAAAACATTCACAAAGATTTTTAAATGCAAATTTTCATTCCATATCTGGAATAGAACAAAAATTATCTATGTTATAACAATTCTTGGTCTTTTTTTTTTTTTTTTTTTGACCAATTGATTAAATTACAAAGAATCCAAAGAATTCTCTAACTTTCAGGAGAAGTATGTAATAAAAACATTGCATATGTTCCTAATAAGATGTCTTTAGCAATCATTTACTGAAACAACTCAAACATGAATCTGGCAAAATACAGGATTGATCAGCTGCTTTTTAGTCTATTTCTGAAATTCAACTTCATCACATTTACCAAAAAACCTTTTAGTACAAACAAGCAAAAGTACATTAGGTAATACTAATGCAATGTAGGTACAGTTCCAGCACTTTCTCTGATCAGTTGAATCATCTTCTCCATGAACGAGATTCATTATCCTCTTCCTCTTCATCATCATCTTGAAGCAATGAGTCATCCACCAAGGATTCTTCCTGAAACTTCAAAAGAAAAATGTGTTAGGCTCCATTTAAAAAAAGTCAGAGAATGTAAAAGATCAAAACAAAAAGTAGACTTCTGCTACATAGACTTTAATGAGGACAAAGATTATATGTGGACATTCCCTTTTTAATCTGAAACAGAAAAAATGAAAGTTACTTCTAATCTGAGTTCTTCAAGCTGACTTCACAGTCACACTTATGGTACTGCACCATTTGATGGTGCCAAACAATGGAACCTTCTCAAAGCAGTGCCTGCTGAAGCACACGTGCACCCGTCACCCACGCCTTCTATTCCGCCTCTCAGTGTCTCTGATCATGAGAGGGTGAGGCTACATAAGGGGCATTGAACCCTCTACTGCCGCAGTTCCTTCCACCACCAACCCAGACAACCATAACAGGACTCTGAGGATATGTTTACACTGCAATGTAAGCCCAGAATTCAAAATCAGGCTCAAGACTACCCCCCCCCCTTCTATCTACACACAAATTGCGCTAATCCAGGGCTAAGACCCAAGGTCCCAGGACCCCATGAGGGTGGAGGGGTTGCGCCTCAGTTAAGTCGGGTTCCAGGGTTCAAGTCCTTCTGCTTTGCAGTGTAGACAAAGACCCACTGGACTCGCGCTATGACAGTCTGCCAAAAACATCCCACGGGCCAACTTTATTTGTCCTTTGGACAGTCAAGTTTGGTGGACAGTCAAGTCTTCCCACACTAAACCACGAACAAAAGGCTAGAGCAGCCACCTTTTTGGAGGGTACTAGGAAGTCTGGGATACGGGTGGCTGACCTTGGGTCTACATAATGTAGTGCAGAGATGGGAGCCCCAGGTTGGGACCCAGAGTTCAACATTCCCTAACCAGGGATTACCAATGAGTGTAGAACACTCAGACCCTAAATTAACAAATCCAGGATCTGCTAACTCTAATTCTACTAACCTTGGGCTTACATTGCAGAGTAGACATACCCTGAAAAAAAAGGGAAGGTGGGCAAGAATTGTGAATATGCAGACTCATCTTGTAGAAGTCTGGTAACAAGTAACCAACCTTCATTTCTTTTTTGAATGGCTCTGCATGTTAAACTACTGCTAAGTAGTAATAAGTAATGCTGAAAAACCCTAAACACAGAAATGGACTCAATCAAATAACGATTGCAACACTGCTCTGCCAAATTTGGCATGTGCTCCAGAAGAAAGATTAAGCATGTTTAGTGAAAGTGTGCACTGACTTTCAAGTGGCAGCCTTACAAATTTCCCTAATAAGAACATATTTGAGTGATGCAAAAAGATATTGCTACAGCTCTAGCAGAATGAGACTGCACAGAGGGATCAGGAATTTCAGGTAACTCATAACACTGCAAAATGCATTGTTTAACTCATCAGGAAACCCATCTGAGTGGACACACTATGACCCATATGATAATTTGCATAAGGAATGGTCTAGATGGTCTCCTAAGACTTTTAGTTCTACCTAAATAGTATGCAAGAGCCCATGTAGCATATAAAGCATGTAACAGACTCCCATTTATTAGCATGAGGTTTCAGAAAGAAACTCTCTCACTGAAATGGATCTCAGACACTTTCATAAAAATCTGGGAGGCAAGTTTAAGAACTGCTCTATCTTTGTGAAAATTTGTAAATGGCAGCTCAGCTATCAGGGCATGCAACTCACTCACCTTCTGGCTGTGATATCAGTGATGAAGACCACATTAATAGATAAGTAAAATAAAGAACATTTCATCATGGTTCGAAGAATGATCTCATAGGCGTAGATGAGGTCAAATTAAGCTCCTAAGATAGATGGGATCCCGTAGAGGAAGATACATGTTATATATCTCAGACTTTAATGTCAGAAGGGACCATCGTGATCATCTAGTCTCACCACCTGCACATTTGCAGGCCACAGAATCTCACCTATCGACTCCGGAAATACACCCCTACCATCTGGCAAAGTTACTGAAGTCCTCAAATCATGGTTTAAAGACTTCAAGTTACAGAGAATTCACCATTTACCCTAGTTTAAACCTGCAAGTCACCTGGGCCCCATTCTGCAGAGGAAGGTGAAAAACACCCAGGGTTTCAGCCAATCTGACCTGGGAGAAAATTCCTCCCCGTCCCCAAATATGGCAATCAATAGACCAGAACATGTGGGCAAGAACCACCAGGCAGATAGCTGGAAAAGAATTCTCTGTAGTAACTCAGAGCCCTCCCCATCAAGTATCCTGTCGCCAGCAGTTGGGGATTTTTGCTACTGGCAATTGCCAAAGAGTCACATATCATAGTAGGCAATCTTATCACACCATCCCCTCCATAAACTTATCAAATTCAGTCAGGTTTTTGCCCCCACTGGTCCCCTTGGAAGACTTACAGAACTTCACATCTCTAATGTAGAGAAATCTTCATCTAATTTCTAGCCTAAATTTATGTATGGCCAGTTTATAGAAGTTAGTTCTTGTGTCCACACTGGCACTTAACTTAAATAACAACTCTCCCTCCTTGGTATTTATTCCTCTGATCTATTTATAGAGAGCAATCATATTTCCCCTCAGCCTTCTTTTGGTTAGGCTAAACAAGCCAAATTCCTTGAATCTTGTCTCATAAGATAGATTTTCCATTCCTCGGATCATCCTAGTAGCACCTGCACCTGTTTCCATTCTCTGCACCTGTTCCAGAATTCATTTCTCAAACATGGGAGACCAGAATTGCACATAGTATTCCAGATGAGGTCTCATCAGTCCCTTGTTTAATGGTATTAACACTTCCCTGTCTCTACTGGAAATACCTCGCCTGATGCATCCTTGGACCGCATTAGCTTTTTCATGGCTGCATCACACTGATGGCTCATAGTCATCCTGTGATCAACCAGTACACCAGGTCTTTCTCCTCCTCTCTCGCTTCCAACTGATAAGTCCTCAGCTTGTAGCAAAAATTCTTGTTGTTTGTCCCTAAATACATGACCTTGCACTTTGCACTATTAAATTTCATTTCATTTCTATTACTCCAGTTTACAAGGTTGTCCAGATCTTCTTGTACAATATTCTGGTCCTCCTCCATACTGGCTATGCCTCCCGACTTTGTGACAGGTTTCAGAGAGGTAGGCATGTTAATCTGTATCAGCAAAAACCACGAGGAGTCCTTGTGGCACTTTAGAGACTAACCAATTTATTTGGGCATAAGCTTTCGTGGGCTAAAACCCACTTCATCAGATGCACTTCATCAGTTCACTCCATGCATCTGATGAAATGGGTTTTACCCCACAAAAGCTTATGCCCAAATAAATTGGTTAGTCTCTAAAGTGCCACAAGGACTCCTCATTGTTTTCTCAACTTTGTGTCATCCGCAAATGTTATTAGCCCACTCCCACTTTTTCTTAGAAGGTCAGTAATAAAAATATTAAATAAGTTTGGACCCTGAAGACTGATCCCTGAGGAACTCCACTAGTAACCTCTCTACAGTCTGACAGTTCACCTTTCAGTATGACCTGTTGTAGTCACCCCTTTAGCCAGTTCCTTATCCACCTTTCAATTATCATATTAATCTCCATCTTCTCTAATTTAACTAATGATTTTCTATACGGAACTGTATCGAATGCCTTACTGAAATCCAGACAGATTAGATCTACTGCATCTCCTTGGTCTAAAAAATCAGTTATCTTCTCAAACTCCTTCATAAACCTTTTCACAGAATCATACAAAAAGGGATCTAACATCGACCAAAATGTGGTAAGCTGAAATAGCAGTCAAGTGAACTTTTAAAGGACAATCCTTAA